CACAAAACTAACCTCAAAATCATCATCACAGATTTGACTGATGCTTAGCAAATTTGATTTTAAACCTTCCACATATAGCACATTAGAAATCACAGGCAAGTCAAGCATTTGTACGGTACCTTTGCCGAGAATAGGTGCAGAGCCCCCATCTCCAAAAGTAACCATACCACCATTACATTCATCAAGAGTAGTAAACAAAGATTTATTACCACACATATGCCTAGAACATGCACTATCCAGGTACCACATATTAGAATTTTGAGCTTTTAATGCAACATTAGCAACAAGGCATTTCTCTTGACCTGATAGTCTATCTAAATCACCCTTTTTGACCCAAATCATTTTAGGCTACAAGTTACTCTTAGTTAGCTTAGTAAGCATCTTAGTCAGATGACTAACCTGATTAGACAGAAAGCTAACCTGACTAGGAATGTTTTGACTTCTACGCTCATTGCCTAACTTGTAACATCTAGGCCTAGTGTGTCCTAGAGCACCACAGTGGTGGCAGGTGGGAATAAACCTAGGCTCAAAAGTACGTGTCCGAGGTACCTGGTCCTAATGTTCCTACGTGATTGATGACTTTGTTCCCTAGGAATGCTCTTACCCTTACTTGGACTCCTAACCGTATTAGGCTTAGAGGCAGCCACGAAGACAGTCTTAGATGGTCCAGCAATAGTTGTATTACCCTCAACATATCCTAGACCTCTCTTGTCTCCCACTGGCTTATTCATTCCCAATAGGTTATCTAATTTCTTAGTTCCACTAATGAATGTCTGAAGATGGGCATTAGATTTTTCCAATTCACTAGTCAAACTCTTAACATTGTCTTCCAATTTCTCATTGACACACTTCAACTCACTACCGCTCTTAAGTGACTCCTGAAGCTTACCACCCAGTTTCTCTTTTTCCCTTTCAAGTTCGTCAAGCTTTTTAAGTAGGGATTTATTGACCTTCTTTATTTTAAGACTTTCTTTAAACAGTTGTTGATATGCTTCTTGTAGGTCTATGTCATCCTCATCCTCATTCTCATTAACAGAATTATCATTTGATTGCTCTTCCTCAACCTTATCACTTTCCTTATCAGACTCACTCTTAACAGTAGCCACAAATGCCATATAATTTCCTTCATCATCACTACTGGAGGATTCCTGCCTATCACTGGTCTCAGATTCATTATCAGTAAGTGAGCCAACTAAGGCTTTACCTTTCCCCTTTCTTTGATTTTTCTTATAGCTCGGACATTCATTCCTATAGTGACCTATTCCTTGACACTCATGGCATCTAACCAAACGTGGTTTCTCACTAGACCCCTTATTGTTATCTTTCTCAATTTTATCTTTTGTGAATCTGCTAGGGGCTCCATTCTTTCTATCCTGAGGCTTTCTCCTATTCTTGAGGACTTTTTGGAATTTCTTGACAAAGTATGCGATTTCCTCATCCCTAAGTAACTCAGTGTCAGACAATTCACCTTTTTTATTGGATTTTAGGGCTATGGATTTTCCTTTCTTGTGTTGTGAGAGAGTAAGTTCATAGGTTTGCAAGGATCCTACCAATTCTTCAATCTTAACTTCATCTAGGTCTTTACTTTCCTCAATAGCAGTGACTTTAGGCCTAAATCTCTCAGGTAGGGATCTAAGTACCTTTCTCACTATCTTGGTCTCGGGAATTCTCTCACCTAGGTTGAAACTCGAGTTAACTATGTCATTTAGCTTAGCGTAAAACTCATCAAAAGTTTCATCATCTTTCATCCTCACTTCTTCAAACCTAGAAGCTAGCATTTGCAGTTTTGAGTTTTTCACTATTTTAGTTCCCTCATGCGTTGTTTCGAGAATGTCCCAAACCTCTTTAGCAATTTCGCACATAGAGACTCGCCTAAACTCTTCTGGTGATAGTGCCATGAATAATGCATGAATTCCCTTACTATTCCAGTTACATGCAGCTAACTCATCTTTAGTCCACAATGATATGTCAGTAAGATGAATGTTTCCTGATACGATACTAGAGGGAGGTTTCCAACCATTTTGAACACTAATACACACATGCTCATCTAATGATTTGAGGAATGCAC